AAAACCATCAAAAGGCCCGTATTTAGCTTTTTTTTAATGAAAATAAAAAACACTGAGAACTTATTTAGTGAAGGAGGAGATGCCAAGAATGAGGAGATAAATAATCTTAGTTAATAGGAAATCAGCAATGATTTAGGAAAATAAATATATAAATGCCTTCTCTAAAACAACTTTAACTTAAAGACCGGCCATAACTTTTCGAAAAAGCAACTCTGGATTTTTTCTCATTAAAGAAAAAAACGTAAAAATGTCTAAAATAAGTCAATTCCCGAATGAAAACAAACGAATGCAAACAAATGAAGAGATCATGTTCTAAAATTTTGAATTCAAGTCACTTAGAATCAAAGAGAATAGAATATATATTAGAGGGGAATTTAATAGTAAAAAGTGTAAAACGGCCATTTTGTTGTGCTGTTTCCATACTGCAGGTGTACTTCACATATTTATGCTATATAACCTTTTGGGCCCTGGAACATCATTTTATAGAAAATCTAAAATTATAATGTTAAAAGAAAACCAAATTATGAAATAGGTTTCATAATTGACCAAGGATCATTTCACATTAGACTTTATGCCTTTCACTTTACAAACGATGATTTTTCGTTATAACTATAAATCAAATGATGTTTTTCATTCACCTAATTCATTATAAAGTTTATTTAACAGCTTTAAAAAATTCGAAATTGAAATGAATAGTCTAGGGAGCATACTGTATTAATGAATTTGTGAACAATTACATGATTTGTACACTTTGAACTCCCTTTCAGGCTGAAAGGGACTGAAAAAATTCATACCGAGAGATTCTCTAAATTCCCCTCTAATATATATTCTATTCTCTATGCTTAGAATATTGTTAATCATCATTCATCTCTTTGATAACTAACCATTTACTATTATATAAAAGTAATACGTAGAAATAAAAAAATGATTAACATGGTTTGTTGAATTGTAATTTTTATAAACGAGATTACTTGGACAAAGGCATTTCAAATTATACCTCTAACTAAGATGAGGCTTACAAAGTTAGTATCCTTTTATAATATAGTACTAAAATATAATTTAAGTAAAAGGGAACGTAAACGAAATTTTAAGTGACCCTCCATGAAAAGAGGGTTATGGCCGATTAACACCGGTACTCTTAAAACCTTAATCTGATCAATAATTTGTAAGATTACGTTGGTTTTCTTATTTGAACAGTGTGTATTGTTTAATTCTTTTACAAATTGGTTCTAGAATTAAATGCGCAAGTCACTTTTGAAGATAAATCATCATATGAAAATAAACTTTTTTTAAAGAACAAAAACATGGATATCTAATATTTACTTGATCAGACAAAGCTTTTAAGGGTATCGATGTGAATCGGACATTCCACTCTATCAATTGAGGACCAATTGAAATTGCGTTAACAGCTCCTTTAACAATATCTTTCAGGAAGGTGTATTTTGACATGGGAAAAGAAACTATACTGGCGGAACATACTTCCGCAACAACGCCGAGCGGCCGAACCCGTTATTTCACTACACGATTTGCTGAGAAAGCAATTTTATTTACCACAAGGATTGTAAAGACTTTACAAACTGGGAGAATGTTACTCTGAACAAAGAGTTCCTAGAGTTTGAGACTGTTTGGGAAAATAACATGATTACAAGGTTTAGGAGTTTGCTAACCTTCCAGACCTTCCAGTCGTCACAACTTTTGAATCATTGAGCCTTTTTGCTCAACCTGGAGCAGATTAAATTTTAACATGTAAGCTTAATGTTATTTTTTTGCCGTTGTTTTAATATGTATCATAAATGTTTTTTTTATTTAAATATAAATTTTTAGGGATCTGAGCACAATTGATAAAATAATTTGTTTATTTTAAATAATGTTATGTAATTATAATTTCGTCTGGCGGGTACGTTTATAACTCGGATCTTTTCAAAACTGAGAAATGCACACACTTTAGTTTAAACATTTTTGAGTGTACATAAAACATCAGCTTCCTGTACATAAAACATGGGAATTCAGTGACGAATTCGATATCGTCTTTTTAAGTTATGATTGTAATACCTAATTTCAAAAGCCATAATATTATTATGTCTGCTAGAGTTTATTTTATGAAAAGGGTAAAAGACTGAAAAGATGTGTCTAAAATGTCTCCGCAAGATGAACAGTGAATATGGACAAGTTTACTCTGTTTGCATACTGTAATTTTCATGTTTTACTAAGTACAACCGGTTGCAGTCAAAACATAAACAAACAAAATGTAAACATAGCAGACGAAACTCTTACAGATTACAGCTTTCTCAGTAGGTATCACTATACTAAATCAAAGAATTATTCATAAAGACGATATCGAATTCGTCACTAAATTCCCATGTTTTTTGGGACACCCTGTATCTGAGACGGGTCCAATGATTTAAAGTTGTATTCTGTGTAAATTTTCTTCTTGGGTAGCACGTTTGCATATTTGATAAAAGAAAATTTCTACAGAATAAAGTTTTAAACTTTTGAAACCTCCTCATATTGTCGTAAAACCTTTAAAAGTCTAAAAACATTAAAAGTTTCTGTTATGTTTGCAAAGTAAAGTAAAGTAATACGTTTCCTTCCCCCCCCCNTAAAGTTACCAAGAAAAAAAAGAAAAATGTGCTTTCAATTATGTGTAATACAAATATCGGACATCATGTCTGTCTGCTGTTGTGCGATGTAAAAAAGGTTTTGATTTTATCGATGAAAAATTATAACAATTAAATGGAGACATAAATCAAATCATAAATAAAAAAGAGAAAAACAAAAAGTCTTAGAAAAAGCATGACAGAGCGATTTATATGACAAGAAAACTCAAAATTAATAGTTTATAGGACTAGAAAACACCCAGATCCAAGTTTGGGAGGTGAGCGGTTTCTATAAGGCAGAAAACGAGCATTAAGCCTAATGCTTGCTTTCTATAAGGCAAAACGAGCATTAGGTCTAATTAATGCTCGCTTTCTATAAGGGAGAAAGCGAGCATTAAGCCTAATGCTCGCTTTCTATAAGGCAGAAAACGCCCAAAACCCCCAAATGCTCGGGTTTAAAGGCAAGAAAGTGTTAGAGTTCCCCAACTGTTATGAATATCATGACAACAATCGGAAATTTTCGTATATACTCCTCCATGAGTCCTGAAAATAATCCTAACATAAACATAAACATAAACATCGTATAGAAAAAAATACTTTAAAATCTAAGTTTTTTGCCCTTAACTAAAAAAGTTTTATTTAAAAAAAGCTTTTATCAATACTGCCCTCAGTGTATATATTTGATATCATAATTTATTATAAAATATATAGATATTTTTTTAGAAACGTTTCCATCTATATTTTCATCATCCCTTGAAGCTTACATCACAGTATTAAGAGGGATAGTAAAAAAAGGTATTAATATTTTTTTTCAAAAAAGAGGTTTTTAAGGAGGGGCACAATGTTGCCAAGGGGGCCAACAAAATGTGCCCCCCCCCCCTATACAAATGCTCTCGTACGTCTCTGGTACTACAGCAATATCATAATAATTGTGGCAGAACTGATAGTGAAAATATCTAAAAATACTTTCCCTTTCCCAGGAATTCATGAATCGCATAATTGGAAAACTGGACTTATTGCCCCCTTATTGCAGTAAAAGTATCCGATAACATTTTTAACAATTCTTTCAATCTTTATATTCAAGTTATATAGCTATAAATTGTTTTTGTTTAGATTGAAACGTGGAAATACAGGGTGTCAAAAAAAAAGTGCGATTATAGCGGCGTCTGGTGCAAAATTGTACTTTTTTGTGCAACTCTCCTATGCTATTTTTTCAATATGTTTTGGAATTTTTTTTGGGGTACTCCAATGGCCCAAAAAATCTGTGAAACTTTTTTCTCTCTAAAAATTTAAAGTTCAGGGGCGTAATCAGGGGGGGGGGCTATGGGGGCTAAGCCCCCCCTGGACCAGTGAAATCTATTGATTTCAGGGGGTTTTCAGGCCCCAACGGATGCTGAGCCCCCCTGGACAAATTCCTAAATACGCCCCTGATCAAGTTCTAAAATTTTGTATATATTGAATTACAGAATCATAAAAAATTCGCAAAATTGTTATAAGAGAATTCGCAATTTTCCGTTCTGGTCTAATTTTAAAGGAAAAGTTGTTTTCTAATGGCTCCCAAGTTTTTAACTGAACGCGCGTAGATGTTTTTAACTTTAGAATAAGAAGAAAGAAACTGAAGGATTTAAAGAAATTCTCATTAAAAATTAGACCAGAACTGAAAATTACGAATTTTTTATTAATTTGGCAAATTTTCTGTGATTCGTGCTTCAATCTTAATAATTAAATTCTAGAATCTGATAGAAATAATATATTTACACATTTTTGCTTTTCCGACCTTTGATTTTGAGAGAAAAAAAGGTTTCGCGGATTTTTTTTAACATTCGATTACAAAAAAAAATATATAAATTTCAAAAGTTTTAAAAAACGAGATTTGCGACAAATCTAAAATCTTGCGGCTGGCTAGTGCAGTGTGCTGCTTAGTGTGGCGGGCCGGGGCGGGAGGACTGCCAGCGGCCCAGCTACACAGCGGGGATGACGTCACCCAGTCAGACACTTTTAAATGAAAATTATTGTAGACCCTGTTTCAGGGATGCAACATATATATAACTGTATTTTTTTTTCAATAAAATACCTTAACATAGGGTGGTATAGCCCATGCATGATATTTTGATAATTTATTAAAAATCTCTTTTCATGCCCTGTTACAGAAAAAAATACAGGGAACCCTGATTTTCAACATTTTTTGACGATTTTAATGGTTACAATTTAGATCAACACAATACTCCATTTTCAACATATAAAGGTTGAAACTCACTTTCTTTCTAAAATTTATTTTTTCCCATGTAATACTTTTAGTCAATTTATATGATATAATATCTTTCAAGTTTTCATTTTTCAGTCAATCTTTGTCGAAACAGAGAAGTACTTGCGACAAGGCGACAGGGGTATAGATGGCGCTGATAATTAGGACAGGGCAGAGCAGGCTAAACGGCGGAACGGTACGAGACATGCCCGACATTGCAGGCAGAGCAGTGGAATCGTGAACTGAGAATTCTGCTCCAGCCGACATAGTGAGAACCCGTCAAACACAGCTCCTCGTTAAATCGTGAATTGTGAACGAGTCGAATATAGTGGAGTTCTGAAACTCGGTATTTATAGATTTAAATGTTAAGAAATTACTTTTCTAAAAAAAAAGTTTAGGGTTAGGGTATTAAAATTCAAGATTATCATGTTCAACCTTAATATTAGAATTCCTGCTTTACTATAGGAATATTAAAGCTTTCTGCAAAGAGCTGTACACTCGCTTTACACAGAGCTGTGTGTGCAGTGTAGTTTTCATGGAGTCCGCCATTGAAATTATAAATATATATTCAGCCATTTTTAATAGCCATAAAATTAAAACTACGTGGAATGTCGTCTTCATTTATTAATTCAATTTTTAGGTAATCCCGGCATGCTTATCAAGTGATGGAGTGACAGCTGATATGAAACTGGTGCAAGATATTGGTAATTTTTTTTTTTCAAAATCAATTATAAAATTTAATCGATTTCCATGACTATGTTATGAAATCAGAAGATTGTATACGGATATTAAAAAAAATTGGTTCTAAAATAAGATTAGATTAAGACATCACAATCACTCACACCTTTGAAAATATCTTGAAAATTTTTGCACAATCAAGAAATTGTCATAAAACTTTACTTTTACATGAATTGTGCTTTATATAAGAGAAAGAAGACAGTAAACGGCCATGTTAAGAACATATATAGATCGATGATTACAGTTTGAGAAATAATAACCCCCCCCCCCCTACAATTACTGGAATGATTCCCGGGGATTTGTGGGGTGATTATATGACTTCCAGAATTTTTTTATGATAAATAATTAAATATGTATTTAAATTGTATTATCTCATGTAAAACATTCGATTATGGATTTTCCTGTATATAAATTATCACAGCTATTATAGTAAACATAATATTTCTGTGAAAGATTCAATTTTTTCCCCTTACAAAACAAGGGAGGGAAGGCACACCACACTTTTTTTTCGTTCTACCACAATAATGTCACAAAATCAACTTCTCAAGGCATTGCCCTCACATTTTTTTCTTCCGACTACACTTTTTTTTGATCTGGCATTTTTTCGTCTTTTTACAGTGTTCCTTAAATCATCTTATTCAATTTTTGAGCCACGTCATGACACTAATAATGGTTTAAAATCTTTTACCCTGTAATCTTTTTTAAAGAAGAACATATGATGTGGGTGCAGTAAGCACAAGAAAAATAATTGATATTTATATTTTCAAATCCCTTAAAGCATGCTTAGTCTTCAACAATGTTACAATTGGGAAAACTATTAATTAGTTGTAGATTCTAAGGAAGAAAGCAAATAATTGCCTAAATGCTATAGTTTTGGAATTAAATTAAGAAAACATATTTTTTGATAATCCATTTTTAACTCAAAAAACTTTCTAACTAACAATCATTCTGAACTCTAAATGTTATTTTCAGGAAGAAAATAACATATATTTCAACCGTAGAAAAGCAATTGTAACACTTTTTATTTTTCCTTCTATTACCAACCATGAAATGTATTAAATATCACTTAATTTTATTGTTATTGTTGTGTTCACAATACTTTACTCTCCGCTGCACCAGTAAGGCAATCAAAATAGTTTTGCGAAAATTTCCCTGAAAACAATTTCTTTAACAAACTAAGTAAGTCATAAACAAATCAAAACCATTTTGAACAACATCATGTTGCCTAAATTTGAGAAAAGGGGTGAAAAGGCACAAAAAATATATTTAAAAGCACAAAAACAATGCCCCGATGAAAAAAGGCGTGGTCGGAAGAAATAATGGTGAGCGCAATTTGATTTTGTGACAATTTTTTGTGGTCGGACGATAATAAGGTGTGGTGCGCCTTCCCTCCCTCACAAAACTGAAGTAAACTATTTTTTTAAACGAGCATTTTGCTTCAAGACATTTTAAGGAGCTTTAGACTATTTTGAACTTTTTCAAATTTTCAGGGGATGCAATAAGAACTAGTGTGGGGGGATTAAACAATAAACATAGATGCTGACATTCTTAAAGTGCATCAGAAACTTCCAACCTGGAAGTCCATGTACAATGTACATGTCTTAAAAAAAGTTTGTGATTGATCATTAAATGCTAGTCATTCAATAAGTGCAATGCCGACTCATAGAGAGATAAGAGCTCTTAAAAAGATTGAGATGGCCAAAAGAAGGGAGATAAAGAAAAGGAAAAAGGAGCTGAGAGAACAAGGACTTGTGGATTTTGAAGGAGAAATCATCCCTCTGAAGGAGGCAAGACGCAGATGGGGCCAGAAAGGGGCGGTTCATGGAATTAAAGGGGCTAAACATGGGATTAAAGGAGGAAATCATGGGATTAAAGGAGGAAATCATGGGGTTAAAGGAGGAAATCATGGGGTTAAAGGAGGAAATCATGGGATTAAAGGAGGAAATCATGGGGTTAAAGGGGCAACTCACAGGGTAAAGGGGGCAACTCATGGGGTAAAAGGGGCAACTCATGGGGTAAAAGAGGAAAGTCATGTGGTTAAAGTGGAAATTCATGTGGTTAAAGTGGAAAATAATGTGGTTAAAGTGGAAAGTCATGTGGATAAAGCCAAAAGTCATGAAATTAAAGGGGCAAATCATAAGGTAAAAGCAGAAAGTCATGGGGTTAAAGTTGAAAGTCTATGGGTTAAAGGGGAAAGTCATGAGATTAAATGGGTAAGTTCTGGGCTGATAGAAAGCGTCAATGGAAATGAGCAAGATATAGAGGGAAAGCATCAATTCAAGAAGATCAACAGACTTGGATATAAAAGCAAGAAATTTAAGTCAAAAAATAAAGTCAGGGATGTATATTTTCCAGAACTATTCCCCCTTCCTCAATTCAATAGAATTTCCTGTGAAATTTACCAAAGAAAAACTGCAATCAAACACTTATTTCCAGCAGTTGAGCAGTTGTGTAAATTGAGTAAGTTTATTTATTCTTTAAAACCACTTTTTAGTAAAATGATTGAAGGTATTTTACAATTTGGAAAATAAATCCATTTGGCAGGAAACACAAAGGGATGGACAAGGAAGATAAGTTAAAAGTTTGTAAAGAAGAAGTGACCACTCCTGGGGTTACTGGTTGGTTTGGTAGAAGTGGAGCACCAGACAAACTTATTTATATTAAGAAGGAAGCAACTGGATCTGTTGATGAGAATGGTTTAAAGAAGGAACAGGAAGATTTTGAGATCTTAAAAAACTGTGAAGAATTTTCCACTACTGGCTTCAGGCTTCTACAGTGCAAATCTTTACCTGAAGGTGGGCACTTAGAACCTGTCTTGTTTTTAAACCGCATTTATCTGAAAGCTTACCATGATTATAATAGATATTGTGATTCCAATAGAAATTGTGATTGTTAAGCATAGTTTTTGTATTATAAGGTGTAAGCAAATTAATAAGGATAGACATTTCTGGGTTGGAGGTTACATGCATGTTTCAGAGGTGTCTGAGATAAATATTAAAAACTAAATCTGTTTTTTTAGGTTTTGGGATGAATGTTGCATCTTCATTTGAGTCTCAAGGGAGAAAAAACTTATTTTTAATCTGAAAACAATCAGGAAATTTAGATCCTTTTTTGTGCACTTAAAATATGAAACAATTCTTTTCTTCTTTTAAGCCTCGACAATCTAAGATCTCATTAAATGTGAAAAAAGTTTATGTTTTCAAAAAATAGTTTTCAAATTATTTTGAGTATTAATTTTCTGATTCCTAAAATTAACGGAACTTGAGATATAAGGTTTTTCTTAGACAAGTTTAACAGCAGCATGAACGGACTATTCCATGAGCCTGAAAGCAATGATGTTAATAACGGACATGACAATGATATAGAGGAAGCAGAAAATACTTGTAAAACTGGTAAAGATGAAGTGAAGGAGGTGCAGTCAATGGAAGAAGGAGATAAAAATGAGAAAATCGACAAAAATGCTGTTAGTGCCAAAAGTGGTAAGAAGAATGAAGATATCAGCGGTAAAGAGGAGATTCTTTTGAATGATGAAGAATATAATTATAACAGCAAAGAGGAGAGTTTAGGAAATGAAGAAGATAATGATAACGACGATTCAGATGCTCTTGGTATAACTTGTGACAAGGATGCCGATATTTCTGGAAAGGTTTCTGAAGAAAATGTAAACACAGAAAGCAGCAATACTAATGATAGCATTAATAAACTGAGCTTTAATTCAGCTGAAATCTCTGAATTAATGAAAGATAAAACAGATGATGATAACCTAGGGAAAGAAGATGCAGATTTTAATAGAAATGATAGAACCGAGGACAAAAAGTCAGTAATGGAGGAAAATGTTTTTCAAAAATCTAAAGAGGATCAACAAGATATGGAATGTGACAATTCAGCTGAGAAGGTTGATGAAAAGAACATGGATAAAATCAATCCGGAAAAGCAGTCAAATAAAGATGAGATTGCAGAAATAGATAAATTTAATTCAGAAAAGAAGTCAGATGAAGCTGAGATTGCAGAAGAGATTGAAGAAAACGAAAAAATGGTAGCGAGCACGGAAGTTGTCAAACCTTCAGAAGAGAGCACACAAATAGATCTTAAATCCCTGGTACTATTTAAATACTTTAGTAAACAATTTCAAATCAAGTATGCACTCAGTACTTAATGCACGACATTGGAAATTACCATACATAAGTGTGAATTGCACACTGATCTCAATGACTGCTTTAAAAAACAAATATTTTTTTTAAGGGCATAGCAGGTTTTTTCAACTTCAAGAGACAATCTGAAGTCATCAAATGAAACCAATTCCCCGTCAAAGAAAGGGTTATGCAGAGTAGATTAAAAGGTTGAAATAAAAAATCCACCAAGGGCTAGAGATGGACACTTTCCACTTTATTTCATTTTGTTAATTCATCGTTCATTAACGACCCAGTTGGTTCGGGTTTTTTCAATCGTTAAAAAATATCTAAATAATCGGTTAATTTCCATTTATTTCATTCGTTTTTAAAAAGCTTGTTTAAGAAATCGTTTGTTCAGTAAGAAGTGATAGTTTTTTTCAAGATCATTCGAACGATTTTAAATCATTTATTTTTTCGTTGGTTTTGAAAAAAACATAAGTTTTTTATTTCTCTGAACGATCCATTTCGTTTATCCATCGGTAATTTTTTTCATAAAGACATCTTTCTTCACAAAAAGTTTTGTTCGTTCTCAAAAATTTCGTTCATTTAAGAAAACGATTGCCATCTCTATCAATCAATGGTGGTTTTTGAGAAATTCCCTGATCATTTTTTTTTCATCTAAAAACGGATTAACAAACATGATGAATGTAGCTAGCATATAAATTTTAAGACATTTTTAATGAAAATAAAGAACTGAGAGCATTTATGTGTACACATTACACAACCTTCTCATCCATTTCCGCTTTTTAACAAAATTCCTTATCCTTCTCGCCCCTTCATAATGTACTCAGCTTTCTCATCCTTCTCAACCTTTGCATCCTTTGCATCCTCCTCAGTCCTCATCCTTTTGATCCTTCTCACCCTCATCCTGCACTCATCCTTCTAACCCTGTACCATCCTGTTCTCATCCTTTTTATTATTTATTTTACTTCTCATACTTATCATTCTGTATTAATTCTTCTCATTCTTCTTATTCTTCTCCTCCTTCTCATTCTTCTCATTTTCTCCTTCTGTCATCATCCATCTTGTGCTTTTTATCATTCTCATCGTATACTAATAATTCTCATCCATCTCATCCTGTACTCATCCTTCTAAACCTTCTCATCATGCATCTATCCTTCTCGTCTTTCTCATCCTTACCTCATCCTTCTCATTCATCTCACCTTGTACTTTTTCTCCTCATCTTTCTTACTCTTATATCATCCTTCTCATTCATCTAACCTTCTACTCATCCTTCTCATCCATCTCCTCCTTGTCAACCTGGTCATCCTACTCTTCCTTCTTGTCCCTCTAATTCTTCTAATCTTTCTCAACCACCAGCTCTTATTCCTTTTATCTGTATTATCCATATTATCCTGTATTAATCCCTCACAACTTTCTCATTTTGTAATCACTCCTCTCATCCTTCTTATCCTACTCACCCTACTCATCTTTTTCATCAAGATAACATGGATTAGATGATAAGGATCATAGGGATACATAATTGATGGATAGGATTAAAAGGATGAGGAGGATGAGCACTGGAGAAGGAGAAGAAGGATAAAAAGGAGAAGGATGAAAAGGATGAGTACAGGGTGTGATGAGTGAGAAAATTGAACACATGATGAGAAGGATTGAGTACAGTCCAAGATGGATGAGGAGGATGCTAAAGATGAGTACATGGATGGATTTTTTTTTATCTGCGTTTATCTAATCTGCAGTGTTTACCCTTACTTTACCAGTATACGATCATAACAGGCCCCCTACCCTGAGGCTCACATCTCATTATCTAATGGGGGTGCAGGCGGGTCGGGTAACTCGTTTTTTCTAAGGTCACTTAGAGGACAAATGAGACAGTTCGGTATAAATAAATAACGTGGAATTGGTTTCATTTCATAACTTCAGATTGTCTCTTAATTAAAAGAACTTGCTGTGACAAAAATTTACAAGAAATTATTGTAGAACAATGTCTAAAAAAAAATTTTCCGTTAAAAGTACATATTAGTTAGCTCAGGTATCATTTATACTTATTATTTCATTTGCAGAATAAACCAGACAGAAGAATGCCTATAGATGAAACTTCTTCGGAAGTCAAGGACAAGAACTCATTAGATGCTCAAAAATCGACTGATATCTTTGACTTATTACTGCCGACAGAAAAGAAGAAGGAAGAAAATTGTGCTTCTGATAAATCCGATAACGAGGATGATATATTAGAGATACCAAATACAAATGTAAAAGTTGATTCGAATCTGAAGATGGTCAATGAAAGTGAAAAGGATGTTCCCTCTGATGATGACATTGAAGAAATACCCGTTAAGGCCGCAAATAAATCTGCCAAATCTTCTGAAGTTCAAAATGAGATTAGCATAGAGCCAGTCGATCTCAACGAGTCTGACATAGATGAGGACGAGGAAATTGCAAATAGACTTATTTTAATCCTTTAGAAATTGTAGTCCTTGAAACTAAATTATGTTTATACCAGGCTTTTTCGCGCCCATCTTCTATTTCAACTTTTAAGTGTGGCTTTATCTGTGAGCATCTTCTTTTTGTACAGTAAAAAAAACAAAAACAAAAAAAAGTTTGCGGATTTCATAATATTTTTTCGCGCATTTTCAAAATTTTTACGAAAATATAAAACTTTTCAATACAAATTTTTTAAATTTTGACAAACAATCAAACAGACAGACAGACAAGCTAAATTTATATATGGATGATTTAGTTATTTGCTCTTTTCGACAGGAGGAAACTGCCCCACCGATCTCTACAAAGGATAAACCAGCAGTAAAGGAGAACAAAACACAGGATGAAATTATACTGGATGATGACGATTGCAGGTATATATTTGAACAGGGTCACTACTTCACACACTCATTTCCCCAATTTTTCAGGAAGAGAACCTGTAACAAGTAAGACATTTTGTAATATCTTTTGTAAATATTAAGAGCAGCCGGTTCTAGTTTTGAATGTAGACTGATATAATTTCCTAGGACCTGGACATGAAGTCCAATTGTCGAAATCTCTTTCCGGAGACTTTGATCCTCTGAAAAGTGACCTCCGTCGGCTCCGATTTTTTATCTCCAGCCTCGTAGGACATAAATAGCCCATTTTTTAAAATATATATTTCCAATGATCCCTAGAATACGTGTTTTTTGATTTTTTTTTAGATGCAAAAAGTTACAAGTTCTGATTAAAAAATATAGGAACCAAAGAAATAAGAAAATATTATTTAAATTATTATCTAACACATTGATGAAAAAAAAATGCAAAAAATTATTTTTTTGGGCAACGATGTGTTAAAATTATTGTTTGTTTGAAAAATCACACTTTTTTGGCATTTTCCTCCCTAATATAGATATTGGCCGGTTCTAATTCAAAAATTAATGTTGCATTATTGCCTAGGAGCAGGATATGAAGTCAGATTGTCGATAACTCTTTCCTGAGTCTTGGAACCTCCGAAAAGTGACCTCCTTCGGCTCCGATTTTCTATCTCCGGCCTCGTTTGACATAATTAGCCCAATTTTTTAATACATACTCTCAATGACACCACAGAATACACTAAAAAACAAAGAGAAAAATTCCTCAAGTTTTTTATGTCAAAACAGAGTGTCAAAAATTGCGTTGTTTTTTTTTGTTTTTTTTTTATGCAAAAAGTGACTAGTTCTGATCAAAAATATAGGAGCCAAAGAAAAGAGAAAATATTATTTAAATTGATGAAAAAAATTTCTAAATTTTTTCGGGGGGGGGGGGGCTTGGAACCTCTTAAAAATGTCCTCCGTCGGCACTGATTTTTTATCTCTTGCCTTGTTGGACATAAATAGCCCAATTTTTTATATACACTACCAATAACCCCCAGAAGATACTAGAACCTTGAATAGTAAAATGCGTCGGCCCAGAGTTGTTGTCTCCAGCCTTGCTGTCTAAAAATATTGTTTAAATCTTTACTACAAATGATCTTAAAAACAATTAAAGAACAAATAATTGTTATGAATATAACATTTTTTGTAAAAATTATATTATATATTATATCTCGGAGTAATAGAGTAATACTGGTCTGGAATTCCCGACGGAACTAAACACGTCCAGAACCAAACTGAAATCCGCCTTATGGACTCTGGTGTCTTCTGCGGCTCACTCTTCAAGTATTCCAAGTCTCTGGAAAAGATATCGACAATCTGACTTCAAATCCTGCTCCTAGGCAATTATATAACATTATTTTAAAATTAGAACCAGCCACCATCTATATTAGAGAGGAAAATGCTCACAAAAAATTAATTTTTTGAAATTTTTTTTTTCATCAATGTGGTTATAAATATTTTCTCTTTTATTCTACTCCGAAATTTTTGATCAAAAGACGTAATGTTTGACACCCTATTATGACATGAAAAACTTGATGATTTTTTTGTGTACTCTGGGGATCATTGGGAGTATATTAAAAAAGTTGGTCTATTTATGTCCAACGAGGCCGGAGATAAAAAATCGGAGCCGACGGATGACATTTTTAAGAGGTTCCAAGTCTCTGAGAAGAGATATCGACAATTTGACTTCATATCCTGCTCCTGGGCAATTATATAACATAGATTTTTAAATTAGAACCGGCCACCATCTATATTAGGACGAAAAAAGCAAAAAGTGTAATTTTTTTTTCTTCAATGTGTTAGATAATAATTTGAATAATATTTTCTCTTTTCTTTTGCTCCTATATTTTTGGGCTAATGGGCTATTTATGTCCAACGAGGCCGGAGAAAAAAAATCTGAGCTGACAGAGGTCACTTTGTAGAGGTTTCAAGTCTCCGGAAACTTCATATCTTGCTCCTATGCAATTATATGAGTATTCATTCAAAAATAGAACCGGCTTCTATTAATATATACAGAGATATTACAAAATGTTTTACTTGTCAAAGGTTCTTTCTGAGCCTTGTTCTTCGTAAATCTATAGAAAAAAGGCTCAAAAAATGGACTTTTAGAAGGGGTTTCTAGTGGATTTATCATTAATTTTTAATATTTTTTACACAGTCACCTCCAAACTTCATTAACAAATTCTAAATTTATTAGCAGAAATCTTCTGATTACGAAATTAACCTGCGTATTTTTTCTCATTTCTATCCTGCTATACTGCAACTTAGCTACGTGAAATGACGTGGCAAGATTTAAACTAAGTTTTAAGAAGGTCGAAGTTTCACGTACACGAGGGAGGGTGTGTAGGGCTGCCATGAGCCTTGCGAAATGACCTTTGGGGGCCTTATGATATGCAAAATGTCTTCCAAGCCCTGCACAACCGTCTCCGCACCTCTCGCTACCTCTCCAAGCCTCCGCCATTCTGTTTCCACGCCCACATTTTTGTCTCCAATAAAATATTTTTGACTTACATCCACAAAAACTTGTTTTTTTTTTTTCAAATAATCTCAACATGATAAAATAAGTTTAAATGAAACTTTAATTTCACAACTTGTGAACAACTACTGCAGTTTTATATAAAGATAGAGAAATGTTATACTATTTTACAGGTGTATGTTAGATGTACAAATTAAACTATATTAGCAACAATTCACAAAACAAAATAGTTTTTGTGAAATACTTAAATTTGTGCTTTTATTGTATGCTTTGTGTAAACTATTTAAATTTCCCAATTCAGCGAAAAACAATTTGGCGCTCCATGCAAACATATCTAACTTCTGGGAAGGGGGGGGGGGGTTATTTTCCATTAAAATATACACCCCTGTACTGTTATGAAGCTCATCTACATCTGATTTGGATTCTCAGCACAAATATTTTACGTTTTCAGGATAGAGGAAGACGTGGTGAACTACAATGAGGCCGTCAAGGAGATAAACAAGATAGCCGCTGATCAGAAGATGCTCATGGAAGAAACACATTCAGGATCAGGGAAAAAAAGATCCAATGATGGAATTAGTATCAGTCCAGTTGTCAAAAAGATGAGAACCCAGGAAACATCTGAACTCCTTAATGGGGAAATCAAATCTAACCCAGTTATGAATGGTTTGACTAGTAAGATGCTGAAAAAGATGAAAAAGATGCCAAGAAGGTCCCTGGAACAGTTTTGTGTGGAGCAAATTGTTCATGGAATTCACAGTGAAAGCAAATTGGCGGAGTTAATGAGAAAAGACGAGACTAATAAAAACACACTTGACAACCAAAAGCAACAGATAGAATCTTTAAAGAAACAGCTTTACAATATCCAGAATGTGATCAAAAAGTATTTGGTGGACCGAACCCTGCCAGGACCCAAGACAGGAGTGCAAAAGATTACACGTAGCGTTGGTCTTCAAGTTGTCATGAGCAATAGTGGTGTTGTTCCATACCGTGGAGCTCCTCGAGGACGAGGAGGAAGAGTACTTCAGCCTAGACCTAGCGGAGGGGCAGTTAGGCCTCCACTTCCCAGTCCACCTGTTCGTCCTGTAAATCCAAGTACAAGACCAGTAGTTAAACCAACCCAATCTCTCAATACCATGATCTCCAGACCTCTGACTGTTAACAGAGTAAACCAAGCATCAACTTCTCCCAAACCTTCTGGCAAAGCTCAGCCAGAGATAGTGGAATTAGATCTATCTGATGATGAAAGTCCATCGCCAGGCTCAAACAGACCTCCTCCAACTCCTACTCGACCTGTAGTTAAAACTAAAGTCAATACACCAGGTTTCGGTGCTCTGCCTGTGAATCGTCATCCAGCTCCATTGCCTAACTCTCCACGGGTTTTGATGATGCCTGGCCTCAAGAGTCAGCCTCCTAGGCCTATCCTTACTATAAGACAAGGATCTGAGGGGGTGGTTCTTAGTTGGACTATGGGGTTAAATGTGCTAGATCATGAACCTGTCTCACAGTATCATATATACGCATACCAGGTAATTTTTTGATAAATTGAATTAGTGCAATAAAGGTTGAACTATTTTTTTAAATCAGATTTTATATTATTGTCTCATTTTTCATTTCTCCTTTGCACAGTGTGTCTGGGACCGGTAAAAAATGTTAATTTTAACCCCTCAGAAAAAAATTATAATTAGATATTTGTAATCTAACAGTAATGTGATATAGCGCAAAAAGGAATTTTCACAAAGGGGATGGTGGAGTTGGCATGTTTGATGTAGGGGGGGGGGGGGGCTTTATTTCTTTC